ATCAAGCCCCACATCGGGCTCCCTGCTCAGCGGGAAGCCTGCTTCTCCCTCTCCCACTCCCCCTGCTTGTATTCTCTCTCTCGCTGTCTCTCTCTGTCAAATAAATAAATAAAATCTTTAAAAAAAAAAAAGAAGAAGGGAAAAAACAAGGTATGATATCACACTAAAATGTTCATTGTGCTGGAGAAGTAGAAGTAAGTGGCTCTTTCTCCCATCTTCCTACTTCTACAGTTTGATTATACTGCTTTAATTCTAGGGTAAAAAGTCATTTCAAAAGATAAAAGTAATGATGCAAAGATTATACCACAGGGAGATGTTTATAATATTAGAATGAGAAACAAAGGATATACAAAATTATACATATGCTATAACTCTAAAAAACATCAAAGGAAAAAATACTGGATAAAAAGCAAACCGGAAAAGAAAAACCCAATGTTTCATTAGAGTAAGAAAGATTCTGGGTGATTTCTCTGACTATTGTTCTCTGTTCTGTGTGATGTTATATTCATGTACAACTTATATCCCTGCATACTCTGTCCCCAAACCCAAGCACATTCACAAGATTGTTTTAAGTTAGTTCTAGTATATATACATCCCTGATGACCACGGTGGATGGAGTTCAGTCAGCAAGAGAAACACTTTATTCTCACTTTCACTCCCGTTCGGGATGCAGTAATCAGCACCAAACAAATAGTTATGTTTGGAGAAGACCGATAGTGGTATCAGTGAATAAAGAGGTGCAGTCCCAGAACGAATACAAGACACGAGAGAAATCATGAAAGATTAAGTTCAGAGCACTACACTCAGAATCCACATGCCAGCCATTTGCTGAACAAGTTATCACACACTTAAGGCTCAACAAGTCAGTCCAGTACTATCATTATTCCCATTTTAGAGATGAGGAACCTGAGGTACAGGAAACTCGACCTAGCGAATGACACTTGGGTTACTGGAAAAAACGAAGAGTGCCTTCCAAAGCGCCTGTGTAACATCTCTCCTCGTCCTAGTGGATCAGTTCTACCCTCTTTCACCTGACTTTCAAATCTGTCCATCACACTTGGGCCCTACTCACCTACCTGGTCACCTCCGGTCACTCACGGGAAGCACGGGCTTCGGTCAGGAGTGCTTCCTCACCCCCCCACACACACACTCAGACACCTGCTGCTCCTTCCCGCGTTCATGGAGTCAAACACCTACTAGTCCAAGCTGTGGAGATACACAGATGACAGGACAATGCCCTGCCGTCAAGGAGCACGCAGTGCACGAGGAGAGCAAGAGACACTATCACACTGCAATACAGTAAGGGTGCTGCTCGGAGTGCACACGTGCTGCGGGGGGACGGGGAGGGCAAGGCCCGTGGCTGAATTTTCCACACTGGGGGCACTAGTCACCTGGAGAGGGTGAGTGTCACCACTCTGCCCCCTAGCCTCGGATGCCTTCTCTACTTAAGACTCCTCTCCAAAGCTTCGCTCCTCTACGCAGGTAGCCTGCCCTCATGATCTCTCCTTCCTTGAAATTCCTTCTGCTCATACTTTTGAGTGGTTCCCAATCCAGGCTGTACATCAGAATAATCTGGAGAACTGGTCCCCAGACCAATTATATCTGGATTCTCGCCCTCTTTTACATAGCTTTAGAATCACTCCGAACAGGACTCTAAAGAGCAGCAAGGGTGGAGAAGCACCGCTCTACAAACCTCATCCGACCCACAATCACATCTTTAGCGCTGCCCACTACCTTCTGTCAACCAGCTCCACTAAACTGTCAATAACCTGAAGGCAGCTAACAATTCCATGTCTCTCCCACTTCAGAGCACAAGGCCGAACACAAACAGCTGATAGGACACCCAGCATCCCACTGAAAATACATGTAATGCGAAACAAGATGTTGACATTGGGATGCTAAAGAAGTATTACAGTGAGTCTAAAATGCAAGAACCAGAAAGCATGTAGGTGAAAGAGATTTTAGAAAAACAGATAGGCTAGAAAAAATTAATACATCGTAGGAAAATGATCTTTTCCAAAACAAAAAACAAAAAAAACGATTTTTAACCAACTAAGAACTCATCCATTTACTTACGGGACCAGCTACAGCTGTCAGCACTAGGGATGAAATGGGAACACAAGACAAACATGGTTCCTGAGGTTAGGACCTCACAGACGATCCCTGAGAAGACTGAACAGACAACTACAACACAGTGTGGCAAATGCTCCAGTGGAAGAAACAGCGACAGCTCTGGGCTCATGCCAGAGAGGCATGTGACCTGATCAGGCATTTCTCTCCCCTGGGCAGATTTAGCCCTTTAGTGGAGAAGCCTGAGTTGGGCTGCCATCACTTTAAACAAAATTCAATACAGATGACCAATTCTTTTTATGTGATCTCTATTCCAAGAAAGAGAAAACACCTACTGCTGACATGAACATTCCACTCTGGGGCACAGATATACTCTCTCCATAATGTATGAGGTACAAATCTGTCTTATATGAATTTGGGCAGCATTTCCCCTGGAGAAACCATTAATAAGGCTTATGATTTGGTCCTGATCACCATTAGATAGGTTTGATGGAGGCCTCAGACCTTGGGGTGTGAAAAATGAGATCTAGAATCATTGACTGAGGTTCAGCAACCCTAGGGACTCAGCCCACACTGTACCTGTGGCCCACGGTGGTCATAGCTAAAGCCAGGTAACAGCCGATGGGCATGCCCGCCTTAACAGCCTTCAAGAGAGGATGAAACGTGGGTGACTCTGTCATTTCAGGCACAGTGCTGGAGAAGGGAACAGTTGGACAATTCTGCTGTATTCCATAATCATTTTTGTGCAGTTTTAACCTCAAGATCAAGTTCCAGGCCCACTGGTTAAATGAGGTCTCAGGTGTCTCTCCATATCGAACAATACTGGCCAAATATGAAACCTAAAACAATTATTTATTTTAAAACCACAATTAGTCACATACAAATTAAATCAGTAAGCTCACCCGCCCATTTCCTTCTGTGATCGACAACATCCTCAAAAGAGAGGACATACTACTTACCAGTACTCAAGTGTTTGCAGCACTCAATTAAAGCAATTTCTCACAACTACCACTTCTGCTTACTTGCTGGTCACTTTGTGAACCTGATCTGAGTCAGTGCAAGCAAAGGAGCAATAATACAAAGGTTGGTACACAACAAATGGTGTCATGGTAAGTACGTTTTAACAACCAGCTGGAGCGTGGGAGATCATTTACAGGGTTTGTCAATTTTGGTAGTGTAAAAACTCCCACCATGGTCAGGTGCAAGCTACGAACAGGTTAACAACCTGGTTTGCAAAGCTCCTGAAAATTCAGTCCGTTCTCCTGAGCCAGGACATGCCAGCTCCAGCTTCCACTGAATTCTACAACACTGAAATAGTCATATGTAAGCTACTTCTCAAAGAAAAATCTTTATCCAACCACAGAATTCAATTTCAGGATCTTAAATTGCCAGAAATGGTCTTAGGCAATCTAAGGGTAAATACTGTAACTTTATCCACCCGGGCCACTTACAAAAAAGATGTTCTCAGTATAGAAGAAAAGGAAATACCTGCTTCATACTTTCAGAAAGAAGCCCAGCATATGGCTTCTGTGCAAGGTATTTCTGGTACGCTTCAAGAATCATTAAAGCCACTTCAGCATGGACTGCTTGATCCAGATGAAGGGTACCCTTTCAAAGAGAAAAATAATCACAAACAAGCCACCTTGATTTTTTTTTTTAACATGCCCTTGAACAAAAAGACTAGGAAAAATAGTAAAAAAGGATCTTGGATGTAGAACTTAAGCATTCCAAAAATGACATCCCCTAACAATTAAGTTATAAAATGACAACAGGAAAAAACCCTGAAATCTTAAAGAACCATTAACTGCACTTAGATAGGTTTGAACCTGACTCATCTTGGACCCCAGGTATATCTTTGAATGTAACTCCCCCACCCTAGAAGCTCTATAAAGTCTTTGGGTTACAACTTTAAGGGCATTGCCACAAACCGGGAAATTGTTCAAGTATTATTAAACAGGAAAATATTTAATAAATTAAGTCTATATTCCCTTTCATTATTCTATCATCAGTGAAAATATAGAAGATACTCAACAACATGGGGCACCCGGGTGGTTCAGTCAGTTAAGCGTCTTACTCTTGATTTCGGCTCAAGTCATGATCTCAGGGTCTCTGCTTCAGATTCTCTCTTCCTCTCCCTCTATCCACTGCACCACACCACCCCCCATCACACACGTGTGCACTCTCTAAATAAATAAATAAATAATAAATAAACCTTAAAAAAAAAGATAACAACACAGATAAAATATTCCTTCAGGAGCTTGAAGTTGCCTATCGAATTTCCCATCCAATCTTCCTTTGCAACCTGAAGAAATACATTTCTTAATCCTTTAATGGAAGATGACTTTCCTAACTAATGAAGGATTGTGGAGACTCTCACAGGGAAGTCTTCACACAGCCAGCTGGGAGAGGAAGGGCTGAGGGGAGGGGGATTCTACTCACAAATCAGAGAACGTGAAGATGAAAATTAGCCCCCTATAGCTCTCACCCATCAGCACTGGAGTGGGAGAAGCTCCAAATGGACCCAGGGGCAGACCCAGGTGGCTAGGGACACCCAGGGAGAAAAGCTGCCTGGTTCCAGTTTTCTCATCTGTACAACAGGGGTCAAGTACATGGAAACCTCACAAGACGGCTATGAGGACTAAATGATTTGCTAAGAATAAAAGCTGGCAGACAGAGAGGGCTGAGTTCTCTCCCATTTTCCCTGCATAATACCAAAACATTTTGATCTAGGAGCTAACTAATAAGGTCTAGGGTAAAGAGGAAGGAAAGTTTTTTGTTGTTTTTTTTAAAAGATTTTATTTATTTATTTGACAGAGACACAGCGAGAGAGGGAACACAGCAGGGGGAGTGGGAGAGGGAGAAGCAGGCTTCCCGCTGAACACGGAGCCCGATGCGGGGCTCGATCCCAGGACCCTGGGATCATGACCTGAGCCAAAGGCAGACACTTAACTGAACCACCCAGGTGCCCCAAGAGGAAGGAAAGTTTTAACAGTCAAAATCATTGACATGGCATCTTTGGAGACACATGATAGGTAGCAAACTCTCAATAATAATAAGCTATTATTAACAAAGCTATTAATAAACTATTATTAACAAAAACTACCACCGCTGAGTACTTAATGTGCACCAAGAATTGTCCTAAATGTTCTGCACGTCCTAACTTGCTGAATCCTTACAACAACCCTACAAGGTAAGCGTGTTAGTATCAATGCTGATGGATGACCAACTGAAGCCCTGAGAGTTCAGATGCATTCGGGGTCATGCATCCAGGAGGTGGCAGAGCTGGGAACAGAACCCAGGCATGCAGCCTGCTTAGAGTGCCGGCTCTTAGCCAATGCACAGTGTTTTAGGAGACAAATGTGGCAGTGACAAGCAAGACAAAATGCAGGAGGAAGAGAGACCAGAGTCAGGAGGGGCAAGCAGGAAGAACTGCAGTAAACAGCTAGAGATAACACAACAGATACAAACAGTCTTAGGAAAAAGAGAAGAAGTTTCACTGTGGAACAATTTATCTTCATGTAAAGGATGGTCACTCTGCAAAATAGAATTAAAGATCCTAAACTCTGACACAGCTAATAGAATTTGCAGACCTTGCAAATGATAATTGGAAATGTTTATGTTTTGAGAAAATGCTTCTTTAAAACTGATGTGTATAGAACCTCCAGTCTCTAGAGAATGGTTTTAACACATACCTGTTCACCAAATCCCCAATTGAGTCCTTCTAGAATAACGCAGGCCAATTTATTCTTCACCATTGCCAGGTTATAATTCAATAACCAATCCCGAATCACAGCTCTCTCAGAGGCAGACGGTCGCCAGAGATACAAAGGCAGTTCTTTAAACAAGTATAAAGAAACCTTATTTAAAAGAAAATGATGATAATTAAGATCGAAACTTAAGGACAATCCTGTATTACTATAATATTATATTATTAAACTGCTTGCAAAAATTTTTTCCAAAAGGAAGAGGGGTTTTGTTTGATTTTTAGACAAATGAAATGAACATCATGGACAACCAAATAAAATAAATATTAAAACTAATGATACACCAAAAGCACATTTTGCTACCCTTTGTAAAGGTCAACAATCTTTTATTTATATATAAATTGATATACTTCCATTTAAGAAAACCATTTAAGAATACCAAGGCCCAAATTTAAAGCCATGATAAATGAGGAGATGGTCATTCATTTTACAAAAAGCGTTAGCACTTTTGATAATTATTTAAATAAACAAAAAACAGAAATAGACTCAAATACAGAGAACAAAGTGGTAGTTGCCAGAGGGGAGGGGAGTAAGGGGATGGGTGAAAAAGGTACAAACTTCCAGTTATACAACAAATAAGTCACAGGGATGAGAAGTACAGCATAGGGATTACGTTCAATAATATTGTCATCACTTTGTATAGTGACAGATGGTGACCACACTTATCGTGGTGAGCATTTCATAATGCATGCAACTGTCGAATCACTATGCTGTACACCTGAAACGAATATAATATTGCATGTCAACTATAAAAAAATTATTATTTCTTCTGTGGCATTTAAAAAGATATTTCTGTTAGCTTCCAAGCAATCTGGGGAGGAGGGACAAGGAGTGGATGGAGGTGAAGAGGAAACAAGATCAACCAAGAGTTGGTAACTGTTGAAGCTGGATGATGGGTACACAGGGATCCATTACCCTATTCTTTTTTTTTTTTTTTTTAAAGATTTTATTTATTTATTTGAGAGAGAGAAAGCACATGAGAGGGGGGAGGGTCAGAGGGATAAGCAGACTCCCCGCCGAGCAGGGAGCCCAATGCGGGACTTGATCCCAGGACTCCAGGATCATGACCTGAGCCGAAGGCAGTCGCTTAACCAACTGAGCCACCCAGGCGCCCCATTACCCTATTCTTTTACACAGATTTGAAAGATTCTATAATAAAAAGTTTTTTAAAACCTGTTTACAAAAAGTCTATAGCATCACTTTCTGAATAACATACCCATGTGTGCAAATTAAGATAAATCTGGGTTCACTCAATAGTTTGCTTTAAGGGAGACTGATCAGAAGAGCAATTCATTTTACAATGTCTAGAACAGTGCTATCCAATGGAAACATAATGCAAGCTACATATGTAATTTTAATTTTTCTAACAGCCACATTTTTTAAGAGTTAAATGAAACAAGTAATAAAATTTTAATAATATATTTCATTTAATCCAATACATCCAATACATTATCAACATGTAATCATTACACAAAACTGTGACATGTTACATACTTTTTGTTCATATGAAGTCTTTGAAACCCAGTGAGTACTTTACACTTACAGTACATCTCAATTTGGACTAGCCACCTTTTAAGGACTCTATAGTTACATGTACCTAGTGGCTACAGCATTGGACAACGCAAATCTAGAACATACATACTAGTTTTTTTCAGGTTCCTGCACTGCTCCCAATGAAAGGCAAAACAAAATGTGAAAGAACAACAGAAACAATAAATTTTAAAGAAACCTTTCCTTTCCTTTGTGTGTGTGCACTCACATAGTTAAATTTTCATGAGGATTTGTTAATAAAGGTCTTGAATATTCTGAATAAAATGGTAAAATGGTAATTTTAAAGATGGAAAAATCCTACTTTACCCTGTGAGAATCTGAGAGAAAGGGCAAAACAATGAGTACAGCAATGAGATCTGTCCAGAAAAACATCTATCCCAGCTAGATAAAATAATGGTATAGCATGTGTCTGTCCACCAAGAATCAAAGTGTGGCTATCGTGAAAGGCCCTAGGGATGTTAAAAGGTTAACAAGGGAATATTACCAACAACTTTATGCCAATAAATTCAACTAGTTAGATGAAATGGGAAAATGCCTTTAAAAACATAACTTACCAAAACTAAGGAAAAACAAAAATCTGGACAGCTCTATATTTGTTTTAAAAATGCAAATTGTTATCAAAGGGTTTTCTACAGAGAAAACTCTAGGGCCAGATGATTTCACTGGTAAACTCCATCAAACAGTCAAGTTAGAATTAATGGCAATCTTAAAAAACTCTTAAAAAATGGAAGAGGAAAGAATGCTTCCCAACTCATATGAGGCCGATATAATCCTAAAATCAAAACCTAACAAAGACATAACAATAAGATATAGATCAATATCCTCATAAATATACATGTAAAAATCCTCAACAAAAAATATTATCAAACTGAATCTATCAACATATATCAAGAATAATACACCATGATCAAGTAGCTTTTATTCCAGGAAACAATAATGGTTCAACATTTGAAAACTAGAACAGTTTAGAGCCCACAGATCACTTCCAGGCTCTGGGGCTACATCTAATTCCTGATAACCCCAAGGTGACAACAAAAATATTCAAAGCTATCCTATTCATCTAAAGGCAGAGAGGGTTTGAACAACTTACTCCAAAAATGTCAGCAAGTTCCCAGAGCACAAAGGAACTATAGGTATAAACAGAGAATGGAGGCATCTTTTAGAAGATGTGTTCTAAAAACCTTATGGTCCCAATTTTTACAGTTAAGTTAAACATATCTCCGGGCACAGTTTACTACTTGAACTATTATGACCAAATTTAAAATACAGGTGTAGCCCAAACCAGAAAACACTTAAGAGAAAATGGTGATGAGCTCAACCAAATGGAAAGAATCTTGTGACCCCCTATGTATATTTCTTTGGGACTCATCCCATCAGATAATCATTCAAAACTGAACAACTAAAACCATGCTCCTGTATATTGCATATAAAAGGCCTTTCATCTCAACATAATCATATCACAGTGGGATACAATGCTTTTCTCTAAAGTACTGCTGCCACATAGAAAACAGTATGGTGGTGCCTCAAAAAATGAAAAATAGAATTACCCTATGTTCCAGCAATTCTACTTCTGGGCATATCCCCCAAAGAATGGAAAGCACAGTCTCAAGAGATAGCTGTATACTCATGTTCGTAGCAGCATTATTCACAGCAGCCAAAGGGAAGAAGCAATCCGAGTGCCCATCAACAGATGAACAGATAAATAAAATGTGGTCTATACTTACAATAGAATATTATTCTGGCTTAAAAAGGCAGGAAATTCTGACACATGCTACGACATGCACAAACATTGAGGACAAAATGTTAAATGAAGTAAGCCAATCACAAAAGGATAAATACTGGATGGTTTCATTTATATGAGGTACCTAGAGTAGTCAAACTCAGAGAGAGAGAAAGTAGAATGTTGGTTGCCAGGGCTGGAGAGTGGAGGACGGAGGGAATGGGGACTTATTGTTTAATCAGTACTGAGTTAGTTTTGCAAGATGAAAAGAGTTCTAGAGATGGATGATGGTGACAGTAAACAGCAAAACAATGTGAATGTACCTAATGTCACTGAACTTAAAAAGGGTTAAAATGGTATATTTTTATGCTGTGTATAATTTACCACCATTAAATTTTTTAATGTAAAAAAAGTACCATGTACTCTTCCAAGGAAAGCATGATATATCATTTATCCTTCATTTAGAAACAATATGTCTCATGAACCAATCTTTCACTGGAATTTGCCCACTTTTGAATGTGATGAAGTAATGACAGTTATCAGTCATCTATCCTACAGGGATAATGCAGTGACTATAAGACAGAAGGGCCCTTTTCAAATACCTTACAGAAAAGTACTTTAAATGTTCCTCTTCAAGTTATAACACGTGAATACCTGCCATGTGAAAAATTCACACATTATAGCCTTCTTATAGATGACGAAAAAGATCTTCATTAAGTGTATGTTTTTAAAAATGGCACATGAGGGGCGCCTGGGTGGCTCAGTTGGTTAAGTGTCTGCCTTCAGCTCAGGTCATGATCCCAGGGTCCTGGGACAGAGTCCTGCATCGGGCTCCCTGATCCACGGGGAGCCTGCTTCTCCCTCTGCCTGCTGCTCCCCCTGCTTGTGCTCTCTCTCTGACAAATAAATGAATAAAATCTTTAACAAATAAATAAATAAATAAAATGGCACATCCATACAATGGAATATTTGGCCATTAAAAGGCGTAAAGTGCTGACTCATGCTACAACATGGATGAACCTGAAAAACATTATGCTAAGTAAAAGAAGCCAGTCACAGACCACATATTGTATAATTCTGTTTGTATAAAATGTCCAGAAGAGTCAAATCTATAGAGACAGAAAGTAGATTAGTGATGGCTTAGGGCTGCAGGGGTTGGAGGGACAGCTGGAGGGACAGAGTGTAATAGCTAAAGAGTTTGTGGTTTCTTTCTGAGGTAATGAAAATGTTCTAAAATTGAGAGTGGTGATGGTTGCACAACTCTGAGAATATACTAAAACACCACTGACTTACATGCTTTAAATAGATGAACTGTATGGCATGTGAATTATATCACAACACACCTGTTCTTAACATCGACAAAAATTACAAAAGGGATTGTGACAAATGACAGAAATAAACTATATGTGTCTTGTTCAACTTAAATTACCACTTTTAATTCTGCTTTTGGCTGATGTAAATAGGGCCATCCTTCTTAATCAGGGTTGTTTTCTTCCAAGTATAAAATATAAAAATTATGACAGCCAAACAAACTTTGAAGTGCAAACTGTTATTAACTATAGACTACAATTAAAAGAAAACCCTGTTAATGAGGGTGGTGGGAAAGTCACTTGGAGGAGATTAAAGAGAAACAATCACAGCTTTTTGTACGAAGCCGCTAACCCCAAGCAGGCCTGGTGAATGGCAGAGCCTGGGACACAGTACGTGCTCTCTTCATCCGGCTGCGCCCGTGACTCAGTCATTCCCAACAACCTATTTTTCTCATTGCTCCATGAATGCAGAATTTAACAGAACAAAAAAAGCAAAACAAACAAAATTAGTGCTCTTACCATTCCCACCTGGTCAATGGTGTCTTGAACTCGATCCAAAATGATAGAAATTATCTCAGGGTGAACAGCTGTGATGGCCCCTAAGAGCTCTCGACCAACCTTTGAAAAAGTCTCTCTGGTAGACAGGGTGACATAAGATACCTAAAAGTGGGAGGAGGTGGAGATTGCACTTTCGGTCAATTACCAGTCAAAACACAGTTCCATAATTCATTTAGGATGCTTTCAAGTAAAGGAGAAAGAATCTCACACTGAGCCTAGGGTCACACCATGTTCAAGAAAGATGTCAGACCTTCGGAGGGCAAACTGTCTACCCTGAGGCTGTGAGTCAGGAGGGACAGGGAAGCAACTATGTAACAATGACTCCAAGTACCCCAAGTCTGTCTGTAGCTATAAAATAGGCCTTTTGGTGTAAAAACTTCTTTAAAATTGAGAAAATTGCTAAAATGATGAAAATCAGAATGCATTTCATAGAAATACCTATTCTCTCCTACAAAATAAGATCCTCAATGACAAGAGCTTCTAAAATAGCAACTTAAACAACGTATTCCAAAGCACAGGCTGCAATCCACTGATGCCAAAGCAAGCAGATTTTTTTTTTTAAATACAAGGGAATAGAACAGAAAAATAACAACAGAATAGAAAAAGGTGAGAGTGCATCTCAGTAAGATTAAGTATTGCTTCAATTTCATACATGTATACACACACACACACACACATACATGGACACACACAAGCAGAATCAGAATGTAATAAACAATGTAACTTTTACTGTGAGTACTGGCCAAAACCCTTGAAACATTCAAGAACACAAATGTTACTTTCATAAAAGACCTTGTTCTAGAATGCCACTTACTGTATATGAAAACAGTCCTACCCCCCACCCCATGCAATATTCTCATACCATGAAGACAGTCTGGAATTCCAGATGGATTTAGGCCTTAACTTCATGCATAAGTACAAAATACAAATATAAGAATAGCCTAATATTTGATCCTGGAAAAGAACTTTAGATCATCCAGGTCTACCATTTTCAAACTGGAGTACTGGGGAGAAGGTAATAAACTCAGATAATCTTCCTCAAACATAATTTTACTTTTAAGTTTACTTGAATAGTTTGGAAGAAATATTTTTTAATGAAGGTAAACAGATAAATTACAACCTAAATGGAAAATATGCATCTTTTTAAATATATGGGTTATGTCTCTAGACACTCAGGGTCCAGAGTCCACTCTCATCCTCCCTTAGGGATGGCTCAGTGAAAAGACGAAGAAGGCAAGGATCTCATCCCAGCCTGTCATTTTATAGCTGAGGAAGCTGAGCCCAGAGTGGTGGGGCACCTTTCCGGCTGTGAGATGGGCAATTGCTAGCAGAGTTAAAACAAACCCAGGTCTTCTACCTGAGCGTCAGTACTCTTTCCACCATCTCATTTAAACTGGCTTGGAAGGGGCGCCTGGGTGGCTCAGTTAGGCGTCTGACTCTTGATTTTAGCTCAGGTCATGATCTCAGGGTTGTGGCATCGAGCCCCGTGTCGGGGCTCCGAGGTCACTGGGGAGTCTGCTTGAGATTCTCTCTCCCTCACCCTCTGCCCCTCCCCCCACTTGCACAGTCAATAAATAAATAAATTAATTAATTAATTAAAATTTTTTAAAAAACACAGAAATACACTGGCTTGGAAGCCAGGCCCCCGTGTTACTGGCAGTGTTGTGGGGCAGAGGGCAACAGACAGTGTTAACACCCAAGTGTCAGGCTGTGTCATCAGACTCTATTCCTCACCAAAACTCACGCATCAAATGTCAAGAGACAGCAGGGGGAAATGGAATGAGTATGATTCATATTTTCAATACTCCTTACAGCAAAATGATATTCCTTTGATTTTTCTATCTCCTTCCATGAGTGTGGACAGTACAAGTTCATCACATTTTTTTGGTAAAGCAATCCCAAAAGAATCAACGCACAGATAATCCCCAAGAACACATTTTTTAGCTGATTTCTAAAACTTAATATTCTAACCTCATATATCTCCAGAACAATAATTTTTATGAAGTCTTCATCCACATTGGTTCTTCTGGCCTGAGCCATCTGAGCAAATGTAGTCAGAAGGCAAATCTCTTCTGAGCTATTCATGGAAGACAGACACTTCTCAAAGTTCACAAAGTGTTCTGGGTCTGCAAGTTCAGGGCATGAAAATTAAAATAGGGAAAGAATGAAGATATATCACTTTTAATCACTCTTCCAGAGAGAAAGAAGATATAAAATTAAAAGATATTTAGAAATATTTAAGATTCTTTGTTCCAGAATGGATTTCTACAGGCTTCGGGGAAAAAGGCAGGGACAAGATGAAATTCCAACTCTACATATAATGTAGCCTCAGATGTGACACTTAACATCCCCAATTCTCAGTTTCTCTGCCTTAAAAGGTTGTTGAAAATTAAATGACACTAGTGACTAGTGAAGGGTTTTGTCACCGGGTGAGACCCCTTCAAAGACACACTTGAAACAACTTAGTAACTGTCAGCCAAATGACTGATGATGACCTTACTGATGAAAACTGCTAGGACTAGCAAAGCACTCAGCACAAACACAGCATTCATTCCAAACAAAAGAGATTTTCTTATAAATGAAAATCTGGGGCGAGAAATTAGTTATTACCATGAAAGCAATACTGCTAAATGTGATAAACAGTACACAGTGTGTTCGTTCTACCAACTTCTCAGAAGATACAATGTAAGCAGTATTACATTTTGTCACGAGCAGGCACAACTGACAAACAGCTTTGGGATCCGTGACAGAAAACTAAATGCCACAAAGGCAAAGATACAGAGGAAAGATTAAAAAAAAAAAAAAAAAAAGATACAGAGGAAAGATTAAAAAAAAAAAAAAAAAAAGTCTGCTTAAAAAATATATTCCCCTGATGGAATTTTCACAGTAAGAAGGCAGTAAGTCTACACTTCTTTCCATGTGTTTACACATTTGAGAAATCAAAGGTAGTCCATCAAATGTCCTGTATTTTCAAAATAACTCCATGGGGGCATTTACAACCCAATTTTCATTTCCCATCCCCGAGCTGGGATCATAACAAGTTACTACCCAGAGCATTTCAAAAATAATGAAAACTGGAATTAGCATTCTAATATATCAAAACAATAAAGCAATCTTTCGAATTTCAAAATCATTACATGTGAGTACACAGAGTAAAATACTCTCTTAGTCCTTCTAAAAATGAAAAGAACAAAGCCATGAAGAGCAAAGGCACACAGGGTAGGAAAAAATCTATCCGCACACTTTAGCCTGGCTGTACCTTGGAGCTGCTTCTTGCACTCAGCAGGCGGGAGAGTGACGCAGAGCTTCTCCAGATTCCCACTCTCCACCTGGTGCATGAGGTAGAAGAGCTTCCAGAGCATCTGGACCGACAGCGTCCCAAAGGGCATTTCCGACATAAACAGCCAAATACCAAGTCTGCGTGTTTTAAAGAGTAGGAATAGTTTCATGTATCAGTCACCTTCACCACACTGAGAAAGCAGGCAGACCTGCTTTGGTAGGAAAAAAAAGTTCTTAAAACACAACACAGCCATTTTTCTAACATGCTTCGGCCATCAATGCCTCAAGGACGGGTAAGAGTAACAGCAATACTCACACAGCACTTCGTCTGTGCCAGGCACTGTTCTAATCACCCTGCCATACAGATCATCTCACTCCGTCCTCACTAAATCCAAGGCAAGTATTATTGATACTCTCCCCAATTTACCCATAAGGCTACTCAGGCACAGAAAGGGTAGTAAGAGGCAGAGCTGTGTTTTGAACCAAAGATCTTTTTAAGGCCTGGGTGACAGAGAGGTGCTTAGATGTGGATATATGTGTCCGAGCCTGTGTACAGGTACGAGTGTGCACACAGACACATGTGCAATGAGCGGGAGGAGAATCAGAAACCCTCCAGGGACTCCCTACTCATCAGCGAATGAAATTCACACTCCTCGGCCCCACGTTCAAAGGCTTCCACTATACAGCTCAGACCCACGTTTCTCTAACCAGAGCCCTCGCTGCGTTCAGAGTATGAGACGACTCCTGGACAAGCCGGGTGAGAACCTCGCACCTCCAACCTGCCATCCCCCCACTTGGGAGGCCCTCCTCTGACTTCCTCCAGCACTATTACAGAACTCCATCCATACCTGACTTTGGCAATATCATACCCTTTATCGGTGGTTCTCACACCAGAGTGGGCAGAAAAATCACAGGAGACTATTCTAGGGGGGAGGAATGAGTAAGGGACAGGCGGGGGGCTAGGTAAGGAGAGATAAATAGGGGGCCACGTGATCAGGCTCACAGAAATCCCAAAAATGTGGAGGTGTGGGGGAAACCAGAGATAAGGGAACAAACCAGACCACCCTGCCCTAGGCCTGTAGGGTGGGTGTCTTTTTCATGATAATCACTTGTGACCAACAAAGAATAACAGACCCTAAAAAGGAAGTAAGCCATTGAAGGTGTTATTTCTAGTCCTTGCTCAATGGTGGTATCAATAGAGATGTTAAAAGAATTTAAGTTCCCTGGTTAGCTTTCTACAAAAGACCAACCCTAAAGGCCCTCAGTGGCAACCCTGCAGGGACCCCTCTCACTCTTGAGAGCTTTTTCTAGATCTTCACTTAATGAACTTCTATCGCTTTACTCACAAAAATAAAATAAAACCACTGGGAAACTTTGTGGAAAATGCAGATGCCAAGGCCTGCCTACAGAGATCCTGACTTTGTAGGTCACAGCTTGGGCCCAAGAATTTGCAGCTTCTAGTCATCCCGGTTGACTCAGACTCAAGTGCTCCTTAACCCACACAGTGAGAAATGCCTCAGGTTGCTGTAATTTACGTACACATACAAACCACAACAATCTGAGAGCAGAAACCAGGTTTTGTTTATCTTTGAATAAACCACAATGTAACCTAGAGTCTTATATTTTAATTATCTACTACCTAAACCAGTATCTTGCAAACAATCAGCACTCAGTAAATACTCATTAAAATTTGGTTATGTGAATTTTATCTCAAAAAAATCTTGAAAAAAATAGGGAGGCACTCAAAACTGTTGCTCTATTTTGGACAAACCTACAAATTGACCGATTACAAACAAAGCTTATTAAAAGAAAAAGAAATTAAAGTACATGCCTGACCCACATCTATGGGGCATCACGCTGCTAGTGGCCCAAACCACCATTGACCTAGATTCTGAAAAGCAATAGCTAGACTCCTGAGCAAAGGTTCAAGAAACTGTTCAGTTCAGTTGGGCCAAGCTTCTGTCTTATTATATAATAATCCCTAACACCTCACATAGGACCTGACACTCTTGTATAACTTATCCCAAAACAGTGAGAGGGACTTGCAGAGGCCTTAAAAGTAATGTCACAGGACTGTGTATTTCAGGATACAAAATTCCCCATATGAAAGATAGGCAGTAAGTCTGGCTTAGGTTTTTACTGTCTTTTGGTTTTGTTTTGCTTTAGGTTGGGGGATAACCACTGTTAGAAATTTTTATTGGAGTGCCAAATAAATTTAAATGTCATGGCTTTAAACATCTGATTCTCATGTAATCTCTTTCCTAAGATAAGTTATACTCAAGAATAACAGTTCTTGATATTTTAAAGTTTAAAATGATTATCACCTTTGTGAATTACATGTATAATTACAGGACAGTTCCCAGCTCAGATTCTAGGAGCGGGTAACTATGGTTGAGAGCTTTCCATCTCAGCTAAGCGGCCACAATGATGAGTGACAGATCAGAGACAGGAGACTATTCCTGACCCCCAGCAGGGTTCTGCACAGGATCCAGTCTACCTCATGAGACCACCAAATTTATGGACAACATAGTAATGAGTAAACAACCTAGTGTAACGAGTAAAGATCAATTTCTAAGCCCAAGTTCTATTTATCTTAGACCCATGCCTTCTGAGTGCCTAAAAGTGCTTAAGACTTAGTCAAGGAGTTCTGCTATTTCTCTAAGAGAGCAGTTTTTCTATTCTTCATCTGAAACCACAAAAGAACCACCACCACTTACATCTAAAAGATCCTTCATGACTTAAAAAGTATTTCCATGTATTACTGCATTTCATCCTGGGATCATATCCATGAGGTCAATGGAACAGGGAGAATCATTACCATCACCTCCATTTTATAAATGAAGACAGTGAGAAGACAAGACTAGGTGACTTGCCCAAGGTGGCAAGACTCAAAGCCACTACACAACACACAATAAATACGGGCTGAAGCTGAGAGGCCCAGGCAAGAGGGAGCAGCGACAACTCAGAAGGAGGCAACGGTGGGGAGAGCCGACAGTTCGTGAGTGCGCTGGAGGCCGTGTCCCACAGCAGAGGGCACAATGCTTGGCAGAACTTGCTCCTACACTTGGCCAGATACTCAGGGAAGACAGTGCAGGAGGCACCACTGTGCCCCTGCCTCTGCCCCAAGAGCACCCTGGACTATAAGCAGCAACAAAGACAACATGATCAGGAGACAGCATTTACACAGCCAAGACAGGGGACCAGGACCCACGAGAATCCTCACAGTAAGATAACTTCAACAATAAAATGGGCAAATCAGGGGCGCCTGGGGGGCTCAGTCGTTAAGCGTCGTCTGCCTTCGGCTCAGGTCATGATCCCGGAGTCCTGGGATCGAGCCCCGCATTGGGCTCCCTGCTCAGCGGGAAGCCTGCTTCTCCCTCTCCCAGTCCCTCTGCTTGTGTTCCCTCTCTCGCTGCATCTCTCTCTGTCAAATAAATAAATAAAATCTTTAAAAAAAGGGGGGGGGGCAAATCATTTGTACTATGCACTGAGCACCTAATCTGCCTCACTTAGGCACTGAGACAGGTGGGAAATAGAATTCACACATTGTTCAAGGCTACCCTAAAAGTTCAGGGATGGCAAAACTTGAAATATCAGAATCGGGTTATTTTAAGATTGAAAGAAACCTTAAAAAGAGCATTTCAGTCACCACTATAGATAAGGAAACTAAAGACAATGAATTTGCCCAAGATAAGAAACAGATGAAACACACTTAGACATTATTATAAGAGATGTATTGTAGTCGATGACTTTCACACAAATCTTCCTCACCAGCCAAGGAGCCATTTCCCAATAATTATCATCACACTTCTTACCTTTTGGCTTTCAGCACGTGTAGGACAGCTCTCAAAAACAGCTCATCAAATTCAACCTGTAGTTTCTCCATGGAGTAAGGCTGCTGGGCCAAACCCAAGCCTCGGTTGTGGCTCACAAACTGTGCCCAATGGTCGCTCACATAACCAAGGGTCATCCTGAGCAGGAGGAAAGGCAATACGGCACTTTTCATTAAATTCATTAATTTCATTAATGCACTCAATCCTGGCACCTTTATATTACATTTGAAGCACTAATTTATTCAATACATATTTATGGAACACCTACTATCTTCTAGGCTCTGAAGAGCATTCAGTGAGGGGACAAGCTACCCTCATGCAGCTTACATTTAGTGCAGGGCAAACAGACATTAAACAAAATAAAGTAAAAAGTATAGTCTGTCACATGGTCATAAGTGACGATGAGGAAAGTAAGTAGGAGAGGGCACTAAAGTTTCTCGGGAGTTGGCCAGAGGAGGGGGGTTGGTTGGGAGCAAGAAAGGCCTCACTGAAGAGCAATATGCGAGTAAAGACCGGAAGAAGTCACACGGATATCTACGGGAAGAGCATCCAGGTAGAAGGAACAACCAGGGTGAAGGCTCAAAGGCGTGATCAGGACGTTGGAGGAACAGGTAAATGAGAGAGAGACTGGCTGGAGAGGAAATCAGAAAAGTGACAGGAAACCAGACCAGGAAACCAGACCATGAAGACCAGGTCACTGTGAACCCTTTGGCTTTTACTCTGAATGAGACTGGGAGCAAAGGGGTGACATGAGCTATTGACTCGCCATTTCCAGGGAACACTGGCTGTTATGAGAATAAGCTGAGGGGAGAACAAGGGCAAAAGCAGGAAGATAAGTCAGGAGGCTATTACAATTGTAATTAGGGAGAAACATGTGAGAATGAACTAGGGTGGTAGCAGTGAAGGTGGGGAGAAGCAGCTGGATTCTGGAAACAGCATGTTTCATTAGTTCAAAAGATGCACATCTTTCACACTGTAATCCCTGCAATTGGAATGTGTATTAAATTGATAACATGCCATATTTTTGTAGCATTTTTTCCTTAGAGGCACACAAAATGCATCTTCAGAATTGGTGGCATCTTAGATTTGATGACAGTGTTTTGAAGCTAGAGATGACAGAATCGGCTGTTACACTGGATGTGGGGTGTAAAAAGACAGAGATGACACCCAGTATTCTGGCCCAAGCAACCAGAAGAATAAAGTTGCCACTTACTGAAGACGGGAAGGCCAAGGACAAGTGGCTTGGAAGGTGGGACGAGGGAAGTCCGTTGGGTGTATTAAACTACAATGTTTGTGAATCATCCAAGTGGAGGTGCTGAGCTGGCAGCTGGGCTTACAAGCTTAAGAGAGAGGCATGGGCTAGAAATAGAACTCTGAGAATCGTAATAGTATTTCAATGATATTTAAAGACATGAGAATGGATGAAGTCCCAAGAGCAAGTTTCGATTGAGCTAGAAGAGGTCCAGGAACTGAGTCCTGGGGCACTCCGACATCAAGAAGTTTGGGAGTGAGGATGAAAACAACCAAGGAGGCAGAAAATGAGCAGCCAGGGAAATGGAAGAGAAACCAGGAGAATATGGGATCCTGGAAACCAAGCAAAGAAAATGTTTTAAGGAGAAAGTGAGCAACTCTGAGAAAGCTACGTAAACTACAATAATCAGCTGTAAATATTTACAGAAAAATATTACAGAGTGAATACTGACCTTAAAGCAATAATAACAATGTCTCTCCTACAGAGTTATTGGGAGAATAAAAGAAGAAGGTATATTCCTGGCACATAGTAAACACTCAATCCTACATCACATATACGAACCCAAAGACAGGTTTTACCTTATTTAGCAAGCAGAATCAGAAAATGAATGTCTGAACTTCTGATAATAAGTAGATGGGCTTTTAGATTTAAAGAAATTACTCTCAAGTCACCAGCCATCCTTTCTCCCACCATCTCGTTTTCATTACATTCTACTAAAGGCCTTCTCAAGACCTTTAAAGTCACCCCCCAGCCTTGCAGGGCATCCTAGAATCATTTACCTGGCTTTACAAAGCACATGGATACACATAAAAAATAAATTAATTACAATCAATTTTGTTTTGGAAACATCACTGAGGAAGGGGAGAAGTTTTAGAGGCTTTTTTTTGGAGGGAAAGGAGGTTGGAAGAAATAACAGCATATTGATGTGCTATAGGGAATGACAGTAAAGACAGAAACATTAATGATGCAGAAAAGAAGATACAAAATTAATTCAATAAAAAGCAGTACATTCTCAAAATTTATTCATCCTTGATAATAAAAGCATAAACCCATTTTTCAATCAAATAAATGATAATGCTTTCCCCAGCTCGAAACAATGGCCACTGACAGAAGTCTTTGCAACTTTCTTCAAAGGGAATTTAACAGAAAATCAGAATAAGAATAAATAAGAGAGGTAACAGGAAAATAATGACACGAGAGAACTACTGCCAATCTTCCACAGCTAAGTGACAATTCCCAGGCAAAAGTGAGGAGGTAGAAGAAAACAGGGAGCAAAGGAAAAGGAGAGAGGCTTCAAAGAGGCTTCATTTTCCTTGACCGAGTTGAGTTTCTCTGGCCAAGTTCAACCCAGCAACTGCTTTGAGAACCTTGACTCCAAGGACAATTATCTAGCAAACCAGTTAAATCTGAGATAATTACCAAATATTCTGACTGGAAGCATTTATAGAATTCCCATCTGCTAGATGGTGAAAGAAAATTCTTACTTCTATGATAAATCAGACCTGAATCATACACTGAAATGTCCATCATTCCAATTTCACACAGTATGTGTGTCTGAGCCCAGCGAAGGCAAACAGAAACAGATGCAGCAACAGCAGTATTACCTGATCATATAACCAACTCGCTTCACAAACTGCCTGTAGCGTGCCCTATTAAAGGTTTCTAACCCCACAGCCAGAAGCTCCACTAGTGAGTTAGCAAAGGCAAAAATTTTCATCATCTCTTGAGGTCTTGTTGTTTCAGGTGAATAATCACCTAGAAGTTAATGGGAGAAAAGGAAGAAATTATAATTACTATGAAAAAACACGGAAGGACACGTGTAAACATCTCAGTGAGGAACAAAGCCAAGGCAGAGAAAACGTAGCAAACCCCACTGGTCTGGCTCTTCTAGCAACATGAAATGGGGAACCTGAGACAAACTACAAAAATAAAAACAACACATTAAAGCTGGGCGAATTGGGGGGCGCCTGGGTGGCTCAGCTGGTTAAGCATCTGCCTTCAGCTTGGGTCATAGTCTCGGGGTCCTGGGATCAAGCCCCACGTTGGGCTCCCTGCTCAGCAGGGAGTCTGCTTCTCCCTCTCACCCTCCCCCTGCTCATGTTCTCTCTCTCAAATAAATAAATAAAATCTTAAAAAGGAAAAGCTGGGTGATGTGCATGCTAGCTGACCTTTCTGCATTTCAGCACTAGGTGGGAAATTACAATCATAAGAGAAAGGAAGGAAATCTGAGATCTGATGCAACCATGTCCGCATGGTATGGTCAGGCACCAGGGAACCTGAATCAGGAACCTGCCCAAGATGGAAGGCTGGATGCTGAGTTCCTGTGTTGAGCTTGCCACTGTCCCATTTAACACATGACAAAAGAAATCAGTCTACCTTTTGCTTTAAACCCAAGAAGATGTTGAAAGAGTTCATGGAACGGAAACTGGGATAAAAGGATAACCAAGTCATCTTCATTAAGGAGAAGCCAACTGGTCTCGGGGTCTTCATCCTAAGGGAAAAGACGCAAAATCATGTCAGCTGATTTGATCAGAATGCACCATGGTCTAGAGTTACAAGAGCTAAATTATCACAGATGCAAGTGGTACATCATGTCCATGTGTCTCCATGGACTTCTCCTCCTACTATCAGTTCCGTAGATGGGCTGTAAACCCCCTGAAATTGCAAGCACAATTTTATGTGCATCTGGATTATATCAATTCTTCTGTGGCTGAAATTCTCTCATTAAATGTCCATCCCAAAGCAAATTTAAATAAAAAAATTCCTCTAGAGTGGGGAACCTTACTATAAAGCTCAGTACTTTGACAACATGAATTAAAGAACCACACACTCAGTCCAAGTTATTTTAGCTACAAGTCTCTTGCCCCCAAATCAAGGCCTACTGTAGTATTCAACTGTCTTATGGTGGAGTAATTTGCATATGCTATAGATAACTGAAGCTCTATTGCCAATTGGTGCTGATAAAGCAGGTGAGACTAACAGATCATACATAGAGATTATTATATAGGGGAAAACTTCAGGGTTTTTGTTTAATACAGAGCACTAAAGTCATCTTAGAAATTAAGTTGATTTGTGTTCTAAAATATGCTACATTCAAAAAGGGAATGCTGTAAAAAGATCTGGACATCCTGAAGAATATATCACCTCAATTTCAATAAGGGACTAATGTAATTCATTCATAATTTCCCAAGCCACTTATTCCCCCGCTGCCAACCCTGCCCCATTTTAGGTTCTAAATGGCTAACAAACAAGCCTCAGAAACTCTACTTAGAGCAGTAGCTCTCAACTCTGACTATACATCAGAATCACCTGGGAGGCTTTTACACACCTGGATGTCCGTGTGTGGGCCTGGGCAAGATTTGTAAGTTGCCCAGGCGGTTCTAATATACAGACGACTTCAAGGAAGCACTAATGAGCATAATCCAGAGCACCTTCCTCTGAGTCAAGAGCACTCTCAACATTCTCATCTACTCCCCAAGTTCTTGAATTCACTCAATGGTCAGTGAGGGCTAGCCAGGGGCCAGGCACCACTGCAGGCTTCCCCAACCATCATCTGTCTCTGGGAGTAAATGTAGGAAACCTCCCAGAGAAAAGACTTCTCTCTCAGAAGAGAACACTCTCGGGGGAAAAAAACCTGTTCCACAATCTTTAAAAGACCAATTTGCACCAGCTCCTGAGAAGCTCTCTTCAAGGTGACTGTTGAGTCTCTAGCAGAGATGTCTGAAGAGTAAAAGGAGTGCGAAGGGGCCCCCCGTTTCTGAAAGAGCACTTGGGTAAATACACAGACATGATCCCCACTGCTGCCACGGCTGTCATTCTGAGAACTGTCTGCTGCAAACCATCACTTCTTTAAAAAGAAGGAGGCTTAGTAAATCTGGTCCCTGGCCACCTTGGACAGCACATCAAGTCAGGATGTGGACCATAAAAAAGCACTAGGGCAGATAACTAGCTGGAGGAAAAATTCCTTACAGATACACTAACCCTGTGTACAGCTGAAAGAAAAATCAACAAGCACTATTTTGAGAAACTGGATTTTGATCATTCAATTCTCACCACGAATAAAGAACCATCTTCTACCTTGCAAATGAGAAGATATGGATAAGAAGTATTCGTAAGAGTTAAAGGCAGACCTTGCTAAGCTCCAGCTCTTTATTAGACAGACTCACGTTACCTGATTGGGTGGGGGGGGATCCCAAGCCCAGGAACTTGTTACTACATAAAAGAAAATCCTAATATAAATTTTACACCATATGAAAATATTGCCAGGTTCCAAATTCTCCCAGCTGAACAGGAAGATATCCTACATGAAGGTGACAACACAGCACACTGGCTCAGAGACTCCACCATTCAGTGACCTGATCTGCGAAAAATCCTTCACCCCCAGCACCTCGGTTTTCTCACACCAATACCTGCACCTCATGGGGCTGTGGGCAGAAGTCAAGGAGAGACTGTGTGACAAGCGCTTAGAACAATGCATGGCACGTAAGAGGAGCTCGGCAATGATTAATCAAAATAATGCAGACACGACAAGTTACCTCTTCTCCTCCCTCATCTACTAGTGTCCATGTCCCGGATGCAGGCCCTGAGGAGGATGGCTTCTGCTCACTAGGCTTCATGTGGCACAGGAACTCCGCTCGATTTCTAAAGGACAAGGGAGATCACTCCAATCACATAAACACAGAAAGCCTGCATGCATGCACTCTGGATCATCTATTCAACCCTGCATAAGAGTCAGCCAGCCACCTAATCTTCAAATGGTTTAAATTAGCAAACAAGAAATAAGGACTGGCGAGAACTCAAGGCGGCTAAAACCTCACTAACTTCATTGTGCAGACCTTGAGGATTCTAGATTAGTAGTGACAAGTAACTGCAGAGAAGCGGTTATGCTGGCCCAGCTCCCGCACGCATGGGACCTCGATACATACAGATTGCTGCGGGACCTCACCTCCAACCAGGCCTACAAACTGTTGCCAGGGCACGACTTGAGGAACCATGCTTTACTGAATATAAAAGGATAATCTGCAGGTAACTCAGAAGCTTGTTTAGGGCAAAAGAGTACCTCTAAATGCAAAACCATTTTTAAGTCAAAATCCTATCTACCATGTGTTGGAGAAGCCCCCTGTCTCCAGGCAGAGAGAGAGAGAACTGGAGAGAATTTCCTACCAACCAGACTTCACAAGGTGTTGGCTAGACCTGATGAGTGGGTGTAAGTGGCGAAATTTCTTCTCTTAGACTACGACACGGTTCTCAGTCCTCTGTTCCTTCCCCTCTGGCCTGGCCCTGAAAAATTCATCCATTCCTTCCTGTTACAGGAACTTTCTCCCATGACTTCCAGTTCTGTAGGTCCACTGCTTCCCTTTCAACCCAAGGAGCTCCAATCCTGAAGCTCCAAATGTCCACTGGTATCTGTCCCTTGTATGTGTCCACCTGTATGCCTCAATGACCTCAGACTTTCCTCCTGTTAGAGTGTCAATGCCCCCACAGTCACTCAGGCTCGGACGTCTACAGAGTTCTGTTGGAACCACTCCTATTCCTTAGTCAGCTACTTAATCCTTTTCTGGGAAGATAACCTTTACGTTCCCCTCCTTATCTTTCCCACCACCATTACCCCAATGCAGGCTCTGAGGCAGACAGGTTTTCCAGGACTGACAGCCAGTGGTAATAACACTGTTCAAGGTCACTTAGACAGAGACTGTGCCTTCTCCCCCAGTTAAATGTCCTCTTGATGATGAGTTGGGATCCAGAGCCAGGAGAGCCAGAAGTCTATAACTGTAATTCAATTAAGCAGAAGCACATCTTCTCCTTCAGTCAATCCTAGCCTCCCTTGATATGACTTTTACCTTTATTCAAAAGCCCTCAACTGCTACAGGGCCAGACCGTATCAAATCTGGATCCCTCAAAACCTTCTATAATCCAAGTCGCTGCAGCTATTCCACTGTATAACCATCTCCCATGCAGTTCTTCGCTCAAACCAAGCTGATCTCCTACCTGTCCTCCACACAGCCATCTTACCTAGACTCTGGGCCAATGCCTCTTCTCCCTGCCAATAGTGCCCTGCCTGCTCCTTCTCTCTGAGATCTAGCCCTTTCTTGCAACCCAGTTCATGCACCTGGAACCTTCTCTCACTGCTCTACCTCCTCTCTTCAGCCTCTCCAGTGCTAGCATGCTGATCGCAGCTTCCCAAGCAAGCACTTAGATCTCTGCACTTCTTTCCCTCTCTACATCTCTTCTTCTAAGGAAAAGATGATCTTTCTTGTCTCTCCATGGCACCTTTCACAATGACATATATGACAGGAGAGGCAAACCCACTAAAAAGGAGGACCCCAAAAAGCTTAATTGCTTATATATAAGCAGTTAATAAGATCATCTGGGGACAAAGGGTATCCAACCCAAAGAAAATCTGCAATATTAAATTCTGGAATGCTGACACTTCCCTTAGCAGTTCTTTGGATCTGGGCAGTTTAGGAAGTCAATCCTTTGGTAGAAAGAAGCATTTCAATTTCTACTTCATAAAGCTCTTCCGCACTTACTTGACAGGAGACATTAGCAGGGCAAGGGACTGCATAAAATGAAAGACCCCTGATGGATTATTCAACACTTTGATCTGAAATCAGAAAAGGAAAAGGCATACTGTAGAAAACCGACAACCCAAGTATCCATAATCTTAGTTCACCAGCATTCTGACAAAGGGAGCGGTTATGAAAACAAAGATGGAAATGGCACGTAATCCACAAGCATGAGAGCGCGGCTCTGGGTTACCTGGCAGTCCTGGTTCGGCTGCACTCAGAGCGGCGTGAGCTGAGCAGCAGACTTCAACTACTGTAACCATATAGGACGAAGCACAATACTGCTCTTTTAGTCCAAAGACAAAACAAAACAAAAAAAATCCTCCTCCTACCTAAAGAGATTCAGACTTCTCACCACCAGAAATACTAAAGAAAAGGTCATGTGGAGAAGTTGAACCTGGCATGCACTTGGCTTCCACCCATCTGAGTGGTTGCTATGAGTAACAAAACAACCCAAAGGCAAGCAGCAGAGAAGAGAAACTGTGAACCATATCATCAGCACTGAAGGTGATTATATGAGAGCCGATCACACAGGCCTGGATCTCTGCTAGCATTAAAGAACACGGAGATGCTCGTGGTTTCTGTTTTGCCTCTACCAACTGTGCCGTGAGGTGGGTTAATTTAGGAAGCCGTGTTGAATATTACCAAAAAACAAAAAAAAAGTCCCAGTGAGTCTTCCTGCACAGAAATTTTACAGAACTAAATACGAGTGAATCTACCAAGCCGGACTAAAGGGGAACTTTTGCAATTCTATCTTAATTTCATCAATTACGGGTGGCCCAAGAAGTTCCAGCATAAAAACGCCTGTGAATACATAAATATATACTAAAATATTTTAAGAATTTTATTTTAGATATCAGTATGTTGAAGTAGTTTTTTAAAGGAGAAAAAAAGCAATTTCTTCAGTAAAAATGTTTAACAAAATCTCTCATCCCACTCAAAATCAGAAGACCATCATCATACCTGGATGAAAGGAACAGCCCATTCACTAACACCAGCTGGGCATCGAAGAATATGGTTTAAAAGGAAGAAGTGATCGCCAGGACAGCCAACTCTTTGTAACACTGACACCTGAACAGGGAAGGACATATAGTTTCATTATTTAATAAGAAGAAAAGTGTACCTAGGGGTCTAGTAAATCACTTAGCCAATGTTTAAATATAAGAATCTTTCAGAAGAATAACCAGAGATCTACTGTATATACACACATATATATAGTATATATACAGTATATAACCAAAAATACACTATTAACATGTTGAGTTTCTACCACAGAGGCACATGGAGGCCTAAGAACCTACGAGTACTATGATAAAAATATCCTAAGTTGGGGCACCTGGGTGGCTCAGTCGTTAGGTGTCTGCCTTCGGCTCAGGTCATGATCCCGGAGTCCTGGGATCGAGCCCCACATCGGGCTCCCTGCTCGGCGGGAAGCCGGCTTCTCCCTCTCCCACTCCCCCTGCTTGTGTTCCCTCTCTCACTATATATCTCTCTGTCAAATAAATAAATAAAATCTTTAAAAAAAAAAAAAATCCTAAGTAGTTTCCCTGCAAACCCAGTTTTTATTATCTGGCAAAATACAACTTACTCACGTTCCTGGCCACATGTGAATAGATACAAGCCAAGTAGTTTAATCTAGTCTCAGTTTGTAATAGATTCTCAAATCCAAATAAGTATGCTTGGGACTTTACCACATATTTAAGACTCTAATATTAACCTAAAAAAAAGCACCCAAGGCAGCCCCATTGAAAACACAACCACTAAACAAATAAGCCTCCTTACACTTAACATCTTTCTTAAATCTCCCAAATCCTGACACCAGCCTTTTTTCTAAGTTTTTAAAGTATGATTGAATACAACACTAGACACTAGATAATAAAAATAAATGATATGGAAGGTTTTAGATCAGCTACCTATATTCTAAATACATATCCCGTCTTTAATTTAGCATGCTTCCCACATTTCCATTTCTTCCTAAGCTGAAGGTATGAGATTAAAGTGTATCAGAAAGAAAAATATTTTGTGCTTAATGACACACTAGATAACTTATTACCATGTGTCATGAACGAAGAAAATGTCACTAACACATTAAATGAATTAGCTGAAGAAGCTGTTGGAAAAAAACCTAGAAGAAGACATAATTCTTCAATTATTTGTTCCCTTACCAATTTCTGCAGCCAGAGAAGAATATCGTCATGGAACTGAGTATCTTCATTAACCCTTCTGGTGAACATGAATAAGACACTGATGCACTCCTTTAGCTGACACAGGTCAGAGGGAAAGCTTTCTGTCTGTTTACAAGCTATAAATTAAAAAGAAGATTAAATGAGCCCCACATAAATGGGTGTTTTGGAGAGAATTTTTAGTGTCTCTACCCATCAATTAATTAATTAACTAATTAATTAAATCTTTTCAAAATATTTAGTTCAGATAAAAATCCAAGGAGAAAAGTTGCATCAAAAATATCTGAATTTGGGGGAACCTGGCTGGCTCAGATGGTTAAGCGTCTGCCTTCGGCTCAGGTCATGATCCCAGCGTCCTGGGATCAGGCCCCGCATCGGGCTTCCTGCTCAGCGGGGAGCCTGCTTCTCCCTCTCCCTCTGCCTCTCTCCCTGCTCATGCTCTCTCCCTCTCTCTCTCTATCTCTGTGTCTCAAATGAATAAATTTAAAAAATCTTTAAAAAAAATAAAAAAAAATAGAACTTTTTTAAAAAATCTGAATTTCTACTAAATATGTAACCCAAAAAATTTTTAACTTTGTGAAGTATTACAAAGTAAGGGAAAATTAACTTCATCAAATCCATTTTTTATTTAAAAATCAGATCATTGGGCACCTGGGTGGCTCAGTTGGTTAAGCGACTGCCTTCGGCTCAGGTCATGATCCTGGAGTCCCGGGATCGAGTCCCGCATCGGGCTCCCTGCTCGGCAGGGAGTCTGCTTCTCCCTCTGACCCTCCCCCCTCTCATGTGCTCTCTGTCTCTCTCATTCTCTCTGTCTCAAATAAATAAATAAAATCTTTAAAAAAAATAAAAATAAATAAAATAAAAATCAGATCATTGATCTAATCCCAGCTCTTCGATTAGTTATAAAAACAATGAGGGGGAAGGATTTCTTTTTTTAAGAGAGAGAGGGAGAAGACGAGAGAGAATCTTAAGCAGGCTCCACACCCAATGCACAGCCAACGTGGGGCTCGATCTCACAACCCTGAAATCACGACCTGAGCCGAAATCAGGAGTTGGACACTTAACGAACTGAGTCACCCAGGCGCCGAGGATTTTTTTTTACTTCAAATATTCTTAATATCTCCCCCAGAAATAAAAATTGCATAATTCAATTAGCTAATTCACACTTAACACATCATACAATCAAGGCTAGGGTTTTTTAAAACCCAAATATGATGAAAAATGCAGAACATTATAGATCCCCTGATGAAAGTTATATAAAACAGCCCAACAAACTAGACAAGCAAAAATAAAGTACAAAAGATACAGGATGAAAAAGTACGCTATCAGTTTTACAATCAAAATGTATTTGAACTCTACTTGGTAACAAATACATACATTAGGACTAAGGGACATTAATGATAAAAAGCAAGCTTTTTGGCTTCCCAGAGAAGCAGAGACTGACAGCCCCAGGGAAGGGAGACCTAGCACTGCTCCCAAGAAATGGTATGAAGGCAGATCTCAATCCTACTTTGGGGAAGGCAAGGTAAAACAGCTAGCACCAATATTCCCTTATAATACCAATTAGTACACAATCAACTCAACTCCTCACTTCTTTCCTCATTGCAGACCACGAGAAAGAGTGAGACTTTCACGATTCACATACCTCGGCCTTGAATTGCGAAAGATCTCAGAAGAGCTGAACCACTGAGTAAGGCATAAATATAAGACTCCACTTGCAACTTTGAGAGCACAGAGGTGTATGAATGCAGAGCGAGGGTCTGGTGGAGGTGCTCAGATTTGGCATCAAATAGCTTCTTTAGCTCCCCCAGTGCATTTTCATTCATCTCTACTCTCTGGTAGCGATGATAGCCTGAAACTTTCACTTGATCTGCACAGATACCCTAGAGGTGGACAAAAGGGTAAAACAGGAAACCAGTTAACTCTTTACACTTGAAATAATCAGGCTGCAGGCATACGATATATTGGCTTCAGTACCACCTTCAAAGAGCTTATAAATCAGAGTAAGGGGACAATCCTACCACATAGGGAACAATAAATCAAATATATAATCAGGGGCCAAGAGGGATAATGCCAATCACAAAGCATCACAAGGTCAAAGAAAAAAAAGAAACCCTAAGAAGAAAACAATAGAACTTGTCCCTAAGACTCTCACGATTGATAATCTTACCTTCAACTTTATAAACACGGAAGTCATGTGATATCCCCACAACTTCAAGGGACTTCAAAATATCTCTGTACCTACCCTCATCATTCTTTGATTCTGCTCAAAAGCAACCCCTCTCCTTTCTAATACTAACACCTCCAGCTGTGTTCCTGATTCTATCCTCTTTTTCAGTAGTTTTCAAATGTTCTCCTCTCCACAATCTCCTTTCTATGTACAAAGAGAGATACAAAGGTCCCCCAATGAATAGGATCAGGGATTGGGGAAAGCACGTGTTTCTCCTCGATATCTCCTCCAGCTTCCCTTCATTGCCAAATTTGCCAAGAGTGGCCTCCTTTTCTTTGCCATCCTTCCCAGGCCACTGGGAAGTGGCTTCCCTAATGGTCACCTTGGCCTCCACAGGGTCACATCTAATTGCCTTCCTGTTTCCTCATCTCTCAAGTTTATTCCATGGATCATCCTCTCCTTGACCCTCTCTACCCATGTGGATGTTCTTGGCATTATGCCCAAGGTTACAAACTAAATGGTCCACAGGCTGCATTTGACCTGGAAACGTGACTTGCTTGGCCTCTACTCTCTATTTTGTTGCCAACATTCACAAATCAGGATCCTTCACACAGAAATCCAGATTTCCAGTTCCTCTTAGGAAGTGAAAAGATGTGGCAATGTTGGACCAACACAACCATCACGGCAACAATCAAGAGCGGCTGCCCCCACTGGACCAGGCAGGAGCTTACCCATCGACCACCGTCCCACTCGGCCCACTTCACTCCTCCAGGTCACCTGCGTGGCCCCTGCAGGCATCTGACTTTGTGACCCCCACACCGCACTACTCTGGGCTAGGATAGGGTCAATGTGAGTACAAGCATACTCCAGACCTGGATGGTATCACAAGAGAAGCAGCTCCACTGCAAATGCCCCAGGCTCCCAAAAGCTTTACAGAACACCAAGATACCTGCATAGACAACTGTTCGTCCTTAAAGTGCCACAGTCGACTTTTCGCATTTTGGCAATCAGACGTCAGGGCAAGCAGCTCAGCTTCAGCCAGCAGCAGCTGCTTCCTACATCGCGAGTAGTTCAAAAGCAACTCATAAAATTCATGCCTGTCCTGATGAGCCATGCTGTCGAATTCTTCTAAATATGACTCAACATTTTCCAGCCATGAACCAGGCTCAAAGATTTTTAGCTGTTCTTTAGTAAATGGTACTAGTTCTGGTTGAGATGGGAGCTCTGGGTAGAGTCGCTCATTACGAAACAAGGGTTTCGCTGCCACCAAACCTGGTGCTTCTCTAGCAATTTCGGCTGGCAACTGAGGATATAGTTTTTTCACTCTAGGTGGCTGAAAAATGTCTTTGGCTTCACAAGAACTCTGCAAGGGAACATTTTGTAGCACCTCTGAAGAAAAACCCAAGGCTTGCTTGTCTTTCTTTTTCTGAGTTTCTCTGACCTGTAAATTTTCCATTTCCTGCTGAGTATAAGAAAAATTAGACTGCAAGGTGCTTTCAGAAGGTCCACACTGTACCAACTTATTTTCCTCTACTTCTGTAAAGTTCTTGGGAGCTTCTACTTTGGTTCCGACATTGTCTCCAGGGTCAAACTTCAGCTTCACTGCATCATCCCCAACACAGGCTCTGACCTCCTCCCCTTCCTTTAGGGTCTCTGTGTTCCATGTCAGGGACCCTTCATCGCTTATAGTTAAGGAGGTGAGTGGTACATCAAACATTTCACTCTCGTTTTGTCCACTGGCAGCATTCTGGAGCTGGGAATCAGTTAACACCTTGAGACAGTCTCCTTTGAATCCACAAGCTGGAGTAGGGATTTCCAGCTCTCTGGAGGTTTTTGGAAGGGAGACTTCATCAGATTCTTCCCTCTGAAGAGTTTCAGATCTCTTCTTTTCCTAAAAATGAGATTTATAATGTGAAATAATTTATAATATAGTAATAATTGATGCTTTCAACATGAGAAATTCTTAAATTGTATACAAAATCTAAATTTTATAATTAGCAAATGGAGTCTAAATAAAATTCCTAAGCAATGTGTTTCATATTTCCTATTATTATTCAATTTCGACTCTGTTAAATTTGGGAGATTCACTAGTCTAATCCCAACAGAGAAAGACATCAAAAGCAGCAGCAAATTACGACTCATGAACAGAGGAGGAAAGTTTTAATTAGGTCATTCTCCATTCTCCTAGAGGTCAACAGAACAGTGTCCACATAGTGTAGGCCTCAATAGATTTATCTTCATCTTGACAAACATATTCGCTTAAAACTCATGCAGAAAGAGTCAAAGAACTTGAGCAATAAAATAACATGAGTATTGGATTATAACCTACAGAATAAAATAAATATCATGAGTCCATACTGACATAAATAAATAATAAATGGGCAAAAAGTGACACCCCTCCCTACAGAATTCCAATCAATAAATGTAGATGGAATGAGAATAACAGAAAAGTCACCATTACAACACCATGGTAATAACTGCCACAGGCAAAATCTGCCGATGGATGTTAAAGTGAGTGAGTGAAAATGTAAGCAGAAACAAGACAGCTGGCTAGCATCAAAGTATCTCCTAAATATTTAGTAATTACAAAGGGGGAAATAGTAAGGTTCAGTGGAGAATTCGGCAAACAATATATTAACTGCTTAATCAAGATTGATAAGACCAGTAGCATATCCCCATGTGATGTTCTGAGAAGGCCTATCAGCTCTTCAAGTATCCTTTCCAATAACATACAACCTCAATCTAATCATAAAAATATACCAGACAAAAACTCAAATTAAGGAACGGTCTACAAGGGGCGCCTGGGTGGCTCAGTTGGTTAAGCGACTGCCTTCGGCTCAGGTCATGATCCTGGAGTCCTGGGATCGAGTCCCGCATCGGGCTCCC